CCACTTGGCAAAACCTTCTTTACTATTTTCAGTAAATAGGTTTTTTCATCTTTAGTCATTCTGACAGATCCTGTTACGTTGCCCATTGTTATTTTTATTAAGTTATATGAAAAGAAAGAAAAAAGGCTTTTTTAAAAAGCGAAAATTATGGTTTTTATAACACGTTGTTTAATAAAGCACGCTATTATGTCAGACTTGTTTGAATCAATCATCTTGTTGGGATAATATGGCGTGACTTATGAGATTCAATGTTGTGGAACCCAATTGTTGTCACTTTTGTATTGGTAACGAAATACAAGTTAATCTCTCTTTTATCATCCATTTCCTTTTTCTTTATCTCCTTTATATTTTTGATACAAAATGCCCCCTATAACAAAGCGTAAATTAGCATTATTATCGCATATTACTTTGCTTTCTGCTGCTGCCTATCAGTACATGAATTATCTTGAATCTCAACGCCGTATTTCTAAACGATTCTACACAACGTCAAAAAGTCTGCATTCACCTACTAAATCGGCTGCTAAAAGGTTGCTTGATGGTCGTCAGGATGATGCCTTTATGTGTCATTTTGGTTTGACGACTGGAGCATTCGATCAATTACACGAAGAATTCCAAAAAGAATATCCAACCGAATGCACGGCTGGACGTAAAAGAGTACTTGACACGGTGATGACACTTGCTTTGGTTCTGATGTGGTTGCATAACACCATGAAGCAGGAGACACTCTGTATAATATTTGGTGTCCCTGCTGCAACACTCAGTAGATTTAAAACTATGGGTATTCAAACCCTCTTAAACGTTTTTGAAAAAAACAAAAAAGACCCTCGTTGGAAAATTGGTTGGCCCACTACAGATGAAATGACAACGTTTAACGATATGGTGCTTACGAACACCACAAATGACTTTGAGAAACAGGTGTTAGAAGGAGTGTTTGGCTTTGTTGACGGTCTTAACCTTAGAATACAACATCCTGAAGACCCATTCGAGCAAAATGCGTACTATAACGGATGGAAAGGTGATTGCTATGCCTCACAAGTTTTAGTATATACCCCGGATGGCTGTATCGCCTATGTGAGGTAGGATTGACATACTTGTTTGATTCTCTAAACAAACAAAACTAAATTGACTCTTTTTCTTATAGATATAACTGTCCTGGTTCTTGGCATGATGCCGAAATAGCAATTCCACTTTACGAAAGGTTTCTTGCTTACAAATGTCCAAGCCCTTTCAAGCTTCTTGCGGATTCTGCTTTCCCTTGTAAGCGAGAGTTTGAAAACAAAGTGCTAAGTGTACCAAGAGAAAACGCAATTGGCATTGAAAGAGCCAACGTGCAGACACAAAAGAAACATGCTATCATTACCAAGCATAGACAGGCCGTGGAATGGGGTATGAGAGCCATACAAGGGACTTTTGGAAGACTTCATACCAAGCTTCCTTCGGATAAAATTAAGCGTTATGAAATCTTGACCCTTGTATGGAGACTACACAACTTCAGTGTAAGAACGGTTGGCGTCAACCAAATTAATACTGTTTACTATGCTAATTGGAAGGCGAGAGAGCAAGAAATTTTGAATTATGAAAATTAATAAAATTTATTGAAAGTTAATTCTATTTTATGGTTTTGGAACAAAAAAAAATTAACTCGGAAAATCAAATTCCCGGAGTTAATTCTATTCTATTTAATTCTATTTTGCATTTTGGAAGTCATCCATTATCTGGTTTTTTTTTATGGTTTTTAGGATCTATTTTTATTCAGATGAAATGGCCCATCTGGGCAAGCGTGCACGCTGTACTGTAGTCAAGGGAGACTCGACTACTCTTGAGGTACGGGGTAATGAAACACCTCGAAATGGTCTGGCAGGAGCATCCAAAAAGGCATAAACCTCTTCCAACTATTGGGATAAATGTTGTAAGTAGATTAGCATTGACTTTGATGTTTAATTTATTAACTTGCCTTAGTAGATCTCCAAGAGGGACAGAGCTTTACCAACGACGTGGCCAATCCGTGCGCATTGACGGCGTCGTTTTCTCGTCTGACATATATGCCGGATGCACCACAGCTTGACAATTGCCAGACGAGATATGGAGGTGGTCCTCAATCATATGTTGAAAACGTTTAAAGTTTCTTAAACGTCTTCTCATTTTCTAAATCAAAGGTACAGTTTAATATTTTGTGTGTTTTTGATTCTTATACTATACTTACAGTGGCCATTCTTGACCCCATGTTAGAAACAACAGCAGATTGTTGTACTTCTGCTGCTGTTTGAGTCTCATTGCGACGGACTCGTCTTCTCACATTCTCCTGGTGCGTTCTGATACGCCTGGCCAGAATAGAGGATTGATTTTCTCCAAGCTGGTGAGTATCCGGAAGACCATCCGTGCGGATTTCTTCCAGACGAAATTGGTTCAAGATATGGTTGTAAATATCGATATTTGTTCCCTCCAACAAAGTTGAATTAACATCCCAAGCAGGAAGAGTTAATTCCCTACATGCACGCCTGTAGAAAGCTCAAATCAGGGCCTACAGATGGTAATATTAAAATGATGTACTGATATGTTTTTAATAGATAGATAGGTATAATTCTTACACTCTGTTGAGGATCAGTTCCTATTCTTTCACCACCAACACGTCGATTTCCTCGTTCATATGCATCCATACGACTCTCGAGCACAGCAATGCGTTGATTATCACCAGTACGTCTTCTAGGAGGGTAATAAAGGCAGGTGCTGCAGGTTGAGCGGATTGCACCACGGGGGTACCGTTTGCGCTGTAAGTAATGTTATTTGTTGTGTTAATTGCCATATTATTTTGTAAAGAAGCGTAAAGAACAATATTATTACTGTTTGGATCTACGCTTATAATTAGACCCTTTTTTGCACACAATAAACTTGTCACAGTAAAAAAAAAAATTAATCCTTTCATGTTTCTTTTTTTTTATTCCGTCTCTTTCTTTCACTTTCTTTTTCTTTTCCTTTTTTTGTAAAAAAAAAAAAAAAAAAAAAAAAAAAGTTTCTTTCTGTAAGTAATATTCTTTTATTTTATAAGAGATAACATGTCAGCTAACATTACTCTTGTATAGTGTTCAATTAAAAGAGGTAACCAGCCAAGGCCTACATATGTTCCTATAGTAGGAACATTAAAAAATGCCACGCCTCTCATTCGAAACTAATTGTCCTCCTCCCTTTTTTTTTCTATGACAGGTCTTTTTTACTCTACATTGGCATAACGCATTGTCTCCTTTCTCTTGGCCTTAATCCCCTTCGTTGGCTCTCTCTTAACAAAATAACAGGCTTTCTTTTTACTTGCGTCATTACTCCGGCATCCTTTTTTTTTAAAAAAAAAACTGGTAAGATAAGCACTCCTTCTGAAACGTGTCGAAGACTGACAATCATCTTTCATAGATGTCTACAAGACTCTGGTTACTGTGCTAAACGCACATACAATAAAAATCATCGGTAATCCAAATTTATATAAATTGTCCAAATTTGGAACTCTGACACATTGAATACAATGGAAGAGCCGATAGAAAATATTATTAGAAATCATTGAAGCAATCTGTCGGCGACAAGCGTACCCTTGAATTCATGTAGAATTCAACAGTCAAGATAAATTTATGGACTAGCAATTCTAATAACAGTCAGCTTTTAAAAGAGTATAAATAGACCCCATTATTTCATAGTTCAAACTTCAGTCAAATAAAGTAACAAGTGTTGTATACACAAATATCTCGTAGTGTATACAAGCACTATTCTGTGAGTTACTTTAGCGAAGAAACTCGAAATAGTTATTTTGTGTCACCTCACGTACACGCGGTTTACACGCAACATCTGCATTAACAAATGATAAAAACAACTTATAAATAATATCACAGCTTACAATGCACGCATGGTCCACACATGCTTACTGCAATATGTTCACATTATAAATCATTCTCTCAGCCTGCTCTATTAATTGACAAGTACCGAAAGGACTTTGTCAATTCCTATATAAACCATCCTCTAATTCAATAATAAAACGATATTCAATTTACCCAGTCTCACAATTACCTTTTTCTTTATCTTATAAACTGTCTATCTTGTTGGATAGAACATTTTTTTTTGTGAAGAGTATAATAATTTGAAACTATCGTTTGTTACCCCTTTTTCCACCAATTTTTAATTTAAAAAAAAAAAAAAAAAAACTGTTGTCAATGACAAACCCTATGCTCAACGCTACCATCGCTACGCGGTCTAGAGCTGCCAGTACAAATTCTAGTAACAATGGTGTCATTGAACCCATTACTACTACTACTTCTTTGGATGTCTCCGACGATGCCAACACATCAGCTGACGACATCAATGACAGTGCGTCAGGCAAAATTTCAGCCACAACGACCACCAACATCAACTCTAGTAACATGGATCTAGATACAGCCAATATGAAATCCCTCGCAGATCTGGATCTCGACAACTTCATGGATGTCACGGAAGTCCTCCACAATTTCAAAGTAGAGACGAATGCTTTAATCATTAAATTGGTCGTAGCTACTTCCGCCAAAAACAAAGATATCAATATGGTAAATAGCTTACACCAAGAAGTGAAATCAAGACAATCAGTGTTGAAGACAATTTTGGAAGCACAAAATCTTACATCAGATTCAGATAAGGAAAGTGATGCAGACAACAACGGAGACAAGCGCTCTACAGTACCGAACAACATGCCCTTATTTAAGTGGAACACAGCCACCAATTCTGACACTGGTTTCAACAGCCTCAAGGAATGCCTAATGAGGTTCGAGGACATACTAAACGACCATGATTTGAAGTTGGACACTCATTGGAGACGGTTAATTGTATATTGCCTGTCAGTTGAACAGAGAGCATGGTTGGATGATTTTGTTTTAGACAACGCAAACACGGCTATATTGTACCACGATTTTAAAGCAGCTTTCATACAAAACTATGGAATAACCACGGCTGAGGAACAAGCTTTAGCGTCAAACATTTTAATGACTATATGTATGGAACCTAACGAATCAATCGAAGTATTTATCGAAAGATTTATACAGTTAAAAAGGCAAGCAGCCACTGTCGATCCCACGATCCTGATCAGTCGTTTTATCAATGCACTCCCCGTCGAGCTATCTAATCAAGTCACTTTTATCCTAACAGGTGCAAGTGATACCAATAAGCGTTCGCTTATTTACGTCATGTCTTTAGCTAAAGATCTTTACACCAAGTTATTTCAGTTTAGTAACAACTTGAACATGTTGAATAGCAGTAACAATGGGAGCAGCAGCAGACAACACTTGACGGGACGTCAAAACAATCTGTATGAAGGTCACGTTGCAAAGAAAAGACCTATTACGAATAGCAACACTTGTATCTTACACAAGAACGGTCGTCACACTAGTGAGGAATGTCATACGTTAAAAGCCGCGACTAGTAATCTCAATAAAAATGGTAACTCTAACAGTGAGCACCGACCTCCTCCTCCCACCAATCGAACATTCTTTGCCAATAACAGGAATCAAAATGATCAACCTAGACGCTGTTTCCAGTGCGACTTCACTCCTTGGACAAAGGATCACGTTTGTGCCACCAACAATGCTAATGAACAACCATTGTTGACCTTTCGATCTATGACACGAATCAACAACACTCGTCCCACGACTTTCCCCACACCACCTCCTAACGTGGATGAAGACATGGAAATGGATGATCCTGAAGAAAGCTTTGACAAGTTTTCCAAAAGCTGTAAGTTAAACATAAAGAACAGATTTGAAGACAATCCTCCTTTATTACCAATAGAAACTAACTCTATTATCGTTCCGATCATTTTAGAAGGTATCAAAACATGGGCGCTCATCGATAGCGGAAGTTCATTTTCATGCGTAACCCCTTCTTTGTCAACAAAGATTACCAATTTAAAGTTTTCCCCTTCCATCATTTACAATAAAAATCAATTTATTAAACTAGCACATAAAGAATCCTTTATTGAACGTATCGGTATACTACCACAATTAACTATATCGCATAATGGTATTACCTTAAAACATGATTTTGAAATATTCGATTTTAACTCTGCTTGTGAGGTTTGCATTGGGATAGACCTCATGGATAAGTGAGGAATTCACTTTACGGGATTAGGCACATCTTCGAATAAAAGTAATAATCCTATTGTTCCCGACCCTATTGATACTTTTGCTTCTAAAGAGCAAATAGATAAACACTATGGTACACCAGAAGAGCGCCAAGCTTTAATGGACGCCATATTACCATTAGTTGAAATAAATCAACAAATACCCACCACTTCGGAATGTACATTACCAGGTGCCATGATTACTTTAGAATTACCACCTAACGCCACAGCTCATAAGAGTCAATATCCTATTCCCATTGCATACAAGGAAAAATTGTATACCCAAATGAAAGATTGGTGGGACCAAGACATTATTACATTAGCACCAGCCAATACCACCTTCAACAGCCCTTTGCTTTTTGTCAAAAAGAAGAATGTTCACGGGGAATACACAGGGGATGCTAGAATTACCATTGACATTCGGTTGGTTAATCAACAGCTTCTAAACAATGATCGTTTTATCTTACCTGCAATTAAAGATCTACATCAGAAAATGAGCGCATTCCAACTGTTTAGTACCATTGACTTAAAACAATGTTTTCATCGATTTCCCATGGAAAAGAGCTGTCAACCATACACCAGTTTCACATACGAAGGTCAACAGTACATGTTTAAGCGTGCTCCTTTTGGTATTACACATGTGGCAAATCAGGTCCAAAGAGCAATAGCTACACTCTTCCAAGACCTTCCATCCGTTACGGTTTATATTGATGACATCCAAATATCCACCCATAACGATATGGCCTATCACACTTTGCAACTACAAGAAGTAATGAAACGGTTAAACAACTCGAACTTGATCATGAATTTAGATAAAGCTAAATATGCTCAATTTGAAATTGACGTGTTGGGTTTTACCATTAATAAGAACGGCCTATCATTGAATAGTAAGAAGCTAACGGATTGCATGAATTGGCGTATACCCCAAACGGGAAAGGACATTCAACGATTCCTTGGATTCTGTAACTTTTTTCGAGCCAATCTGTGCTCTTACTCACGATTCACACAGTCTCTTGACAAGCTGCGTAATAAGGGGTCGCTGAAAGGCATCTGGACCGAGGTACATTTAAAGGCTTTTCGAACATTACAATATGCTCTGTCACACGCGCCTGTGTTATCCCCTCCAAACTTCAAATATCGCATGCACGTTGCCAGTGATGCCAGCGCCTACGGTATAGGTGGGATCATTTACCAAGTTATCCACGATAAAATATATTACATCTCATTCGCTGCGAGATCCTTAAGTAAACACGAGATGGCCTATAGCACCAATAGACGGGAGATGTTAGGTTGCATATACTTGTTTACCAAATTCAGACATTGGTTGTACTTACGCAAATTTACTTTGCATGTCGATCATCGTAGTCTGATTTACATTAACACCCAACCGGTTCTCAATTCTATGTTACTGGGCTGGCATGAAACAATTCAAGAATTTGATTTCGACGTTGTCCACGTTAAAGGCATCGCAAATATCATACCAGACGTCCTATCACGTTTATTTGAACCACTCGATGCTTCTTCCAATCACGGTCCCATGACAAATGTCTCCATGTCACAAACACCTAACGAGTCTTCAAACTTCGAGGGGGGTAGTATGTCCACGAACATAAAGAAGGACAAATTGCATGAAACAAAAGATAAAGAAAGAAAAGAAACGGTTTCAAAAAATAATAACACAGACCTGATTAAGGCAGAGAATGCCCTGGCTGAAATTGAGCAGTCACTTGCAGCTAAAGACAATGCAATGAAAGAGCTCAACCTTAAATCAAACAATGAGCAATTAATCATTCGAAAATCTGAATTAGCAGATTATATGACTCCTCCAGAAAACGAGCGATCAAAAATAATTGAAAGACATCATCAGCTAGGTCACTACGGCATCAACGCGATTGAAACAGCCATACACAATGATTTGTTACATTGGAAAAATCTTCGAGAAGATATAAAAAAGGAAATAGCAACCTGTCAAAAATGTTTAGCATTCAACATTGGTAAGCACGGGCACCATCCTCCTAGATCTATATTACCTGATGCTCCTGGAACACATTACGTTGCAGATTTAGGTACTTTCTCAGTTACAAGCGCAGAAGGAAACAATTATATCCTAGTAGTAGTGGATCTTTTCTCACGTTTTACAATTTTACGAGCCATACCAGATAAATCCGCAATCACCATTGCAAAACAATTTTTAGACATATTTACGTTGTTTGGATGCGGAAGGATACTCCAAACAGACAACGGGTATGATTTCTGCAGCTCTCTTTTAGAAGAAGTGTTAGTGCAATTAAACATCCAACATCGTACAGGATTACCTTATACCCCGCAGTCTAACGGTACGTGTGAAGCATTTGTATCAAAAGCCAAATCCACTATTGTAAAAAGCCTACAAGGTACAAATCACTTGTGGGATATTTATTTACCAAGTACGCAATACTACTTAAATCTAAAGTACAGCCGGTTACATCACAGTAGGCCATTTACTGTCATGTTTAATAGGCAACCTAATGATTTTGACGCTGACTACTCTAAAGACACAGGGTACGTGACTAATAAGACGATTGATCCGAAAGCTATTAAAGAAAAGCTCGATCAAGTTACAAACCTAATTATACCAGCTTTGAAAAAACGCATCAAAGAAACGCAAGATGCCGATAATAAATATTTTATGAAAAGAAATAAAATAATCTATACGCCATTCCCCATCGGCAGTGAAGTTATGATAAAAAACGTACTACGTAACTCCAAAACTGAGCCCAGATATGAGGGACCTTTCACTGTATCAAATTACACGTCCAATGGCAGCTACATACTAGTAGACAAGTCAGGGGCTCTGTTGACAAGAGATATACCTACGTCGCATATAAAATTAGTATCTACATCTAACGTAAAACCGGAAAATGAAACTGAGTTACACTACGAGGTACAGGCGATCACGGATCATAGAGGTCAAGCCGGAAATTATCAATACAAAGTTAATTGGAAAGGTTATGATTCGAGTCACTGATACCTGGGAACCAACTGAAAGTTTTGATTCTAAACAAGAAATAGAAAAATATTGGGCTCGTAGAAAAACGCCTGTAACTACTGGTCATGCACGACCACCTAAGACCGTTAATAAAAGGACGATACCAGATAGAAATGCGTACTCCTTAAAAAAGCGATCAAGAAATCTACAATTGAAAAATAACAACTTATAACAACGCGTTGTAAACATATACTCAATTAGTTATATCAACCGGAAGATCTTCAACACGCTCTACATTATTTATAAGGGTTTTAGTACAAGCTCAACAATAAAGACAACGTTACACGCAGATCACGAACCATAAAAAGTACGATACATATTTTATTTATACATCTACGACATGGAGAATCAACTTACATACATGCAGAATACAATGATAGAAAATACATACACATTATCACAAGTTATGTTTCAGAACTTAACGACAACTTTACTAAAATACGACACAATATTATGCTTGTCATTATCTGCGATATATTTGTGTTACGACTATTATTTCTTAATGAAACAAGGATTAAACACATTATAAATCTTAATTCTTAAAAAGATAGATACAATCTCCTTTCGTTGGGGGTAATGTTGTATACACAAATATCTCGTAGTGTATACAAGCACTATTCTGTGAGTTACTTTAGCGAAGAAACTCGAAATAGTTATTTTGTGTCACCTCACGTACACGCGGTTTACACGCAACATCTGCATTAACAAATGATAAAAACAACTTATAAATAATATCACAGCTTACAATGCACGCATGGTCCACACATGCTTACTGCAATATGTTCACATTATAAATCATTCTCTCAGCCTGCTCTATTAATTGACAAGTACCGAAAGGACTTTGTCAATTCCTATATAAACCATCCTCTAATTCAATAATAAAACGATATTCAATTTACCCAGTCTCACAATTACCTTTTTCTTTATCTTATAAACTGTCTATCTTGTTGGATAGAACAACAAGGACTTATAATCGTACCTATCGTACCATTGTTTTTTTTATATACTTTATATTTTTTTATCAAATCAGAAGTAATTGATTTGTAACAGTTACTACTGGCGTTTTGGCACGGCTGGCTTACGTATGGCTACCTAATGCACCACGACAAGAAGAGGTAATGTCAACATGAGAATGGGTAAAAATAATAACCTCATTATTAAGACAGGCTTCAGGATGCAAAGACTTTATCTATAATGGTTCCAACAATGCTATTCCTTTTGCAACTTGATATTGGTAAATTATTTATACCATGCTTTTTGACTATGATATTAATTGTTTGTTATTAGATTCGTACTTTTTACTGGTGCCATCTTAATCTTCGCCTATTTAATGACCGTAAAACTGCTTCTTATGACTCCTTTTTGACTTTCTTCAGCGTACGATTTACACCATACTGTCTCGCTCAGCTAACTTATTGTCTTAAAAATAGATTTCCAAGCTATTCCCCAACTTCAAGCCCCCTTTTGCATTCTGCTCAAATATCATCGTTGTCAAAAACTATATACGCACTGGCTGACAAGAATAGTAAACGTACGCTCGCCTTAGGACTCCTCGTTTTTCAGTCGTCTTGCTGATTCTCTGTCTCGCTGTCTCGCTGTCTCGCTGTCTCACCGGCTCACTGTCTCACTGTCTCACTGTCTCACTGTCTCACTGCGCCAATAGCTGTCTTTAGTAAACATAACTACGAAACGCTGCTTTCTACTTGTTTATTGTATTTGACGTGAACCCCATGGTTATAAAACGATATACTCTTTTACTTCCCCTGATGACTATAGGACCCCAAACAAGTACACGGTAAGGTAAGTTTTATAATTTGGAATGTGTAAATAGATCTAGTGTGTATACGTGTTACTTTACAAAATAAAGTTTTTTTCATCCCATAAATCCTATTATTAAGGGGTCTCAGTTTGAAAAAAAAATGGGAAACTTTTTTGGGAAACTTTTTTTAGCCAATCAA